AAATTTTCCCACGAATGTCGACTATATATTAGACAACACATCAAATAAATGTTTTTTAGGAGGTATCGATAAAATTCTTTCCATTACAAATCAAGATCAGAAGCATGACTGTATCATTTTGCTGGCCAGAGATGCATTGGTTTTTCTTTCTAAAGGATTGCATAGATATACATTTATAGCTATGCAATCTAGAAAGGCATTATTATTATTATCACAATGCTGCAGCATCTCTTTTGAAAGTTGATATTACTTAGATATAATCTAATTACTTCTAGTAGATAAAAGCATTTCATGATAAAGAATAAATTGCATATAATTTACTTTTGTAAAAATACAAGCAAGCATGCAAATGATGCTATATGCAACATTTTTCCTTTTATCATTAGCTCACTGCAAAGAATAGAACTAGTTAAGTCATTCACTACCAATAAAAAGTAAGCACAGTACAAAATGTACAGTAATTGACCAGAAAAGAAATTAGAAAAAGCTGATTTTTCTCTTCATAAATGGAATCTGACAAAAGACTTGCTAATTAAAAAATATGTTGGTGCAATAAATGAAATAGAAGAAAATCAGCATTAAAGTTAATGAACAATGTTCCAAATAGCGACAGCAAAAATTACGACGATGAGGCAAATTCTTGCTCTGTTCCCATTAAGATATCGCATGCAACAATTACTTGGATTGCTGGTCAATTTTTAATGGATACAGTAAAACTAAGATTGTCATTAATTTACTTGCGATTTTAATATTTTTGTTGATTTAAATAATAAAGATATTAAACACATTTTAAAATTAACTGAGATATATGATATAAATTAGCCATAAAGTTTGGCCTATGAATAATAATAGAAGAGCATTTAAGTATTGCTTATTTACTGCAAGATCCATTGCTTAACCATAACCAAATACTTCTATTTTAAAAGTACGCTACTGCACACATCATTGTCAATGCAATTTTTTCAAAAACTCTTAATACGTAGCCAATTTTGTTCTATTAGACTATGGTATACCTTGCATTATTCTGTATGTGATTATGGCAAAGCCTCGAGGACTATCTGCCTAAGGGGAGGAATGCCTTCATGGAGGACTTTCTAAGGGAAACTGGCTCGTATGCACATTACACATGGGGAAAACCATGAAAACACCCATGCAGTCAGCCCGTTTGTGGTTTTCAAACCTCGGACTGAACTACCAGTGTTCAGCGACTTTACCGCTTGGCTGCTGGTGGGCTCATTATTCTGTATGCAGTCTTTTTTACTGCTCAGGTTAAAGTGTCACTTTTTTGGAGGGTATAAAGCACAAAGTTTCTTTTAACGAAGTTAATATGGCATCAGAAAATAACAGTTTCAAAAATGAAGCACAAGGTTAATATCATAACAACCTTGAAAAAAATTCCCTCACTTGTATTACAATAAATATGCATTTGGCCTTCAGTAAAAAAAAGATACCCAAATATTTTGAATAGTCAGATGTTCTGTGGACCAGTTGGTCTTGACATACATGCTGTCAGTTTAAATGAAAGCAAAACTATTGCTAGCAGAGAGGAAAATTAAAATGGACAAAATTTATAATCATATAGTCAGATAAATATAGAAATGTTTTTTCAGGTAAGAAAAAAATCTAAACTAGTTGAATTCTCACGGTAGGAGTTGTTGGCATGACTTCTGCCTAATATCTAATGAGTTTGAGCAGGAAAAGGTAAGCAGTTAAAGTGATGATATGGGTCTGTTTTAGTGGTAAATCAGTGGGTGCCCTGACAAATCAATGTTTAAAATCACATGATTATCCATTTAATTTCCATTATAAATATTTATTTCCATTTAGAATATTTTCAAATGTCAATGACTGGATTATTCAACAAAACAACAAGTATTTGACTTGATTAAACAATAGTTTCAAAGATAAAAAAAGTTGATGTCACAAAGTAACCATCAAGAAGCACAGATCGTAAGACCATTAAAAATGCCTGGTAAAAGCAATAACAACATTCTTCAGTAAACAAAATACAAAAAGCAGTAAATCATTGCTGGAATAAAACAGCTACTAAATATATGCAGAAATTAATCATCCTATGAAATACAATTTTTTCATTTTTAAAATAAAGTGAATGTAAAATTACTTTAAAAAATTTTAGCAGATTTTGTTTGCATTATAACTATAAGCTTATTTGTAATTTCTTTATGATTGAGGGCGATGAAAATATATATCTTTATTATATAACAACCCAATAACTTGTACTAATTGAAACCACATTCAGAATTTTACAAAACTATTTAGTTTATTGTAATTTCATCTTAAAATGGTATCCTCAGAAAATCCTTTGTATTCAGAATTCTTTTACGGACTGTAAAATTTAATTTGGTTTCTGTTACTCAGCCTACAGAAAATCAGAATTATGTTGTTATTTTTCTTAGTGTTAAACACAGAAACTACTATAGTCTCCTGTGCAAAAGGCGTGCTTTTTTTTTCCCTCAAAACAGCAGACGAATATTGGGTGTGGCTTATACACATGAATGATTAGGTATATACAAAAATTTAGCAATACAGCAGTACATACTGAACAACTGAGTATAAAATCCACTGCTGTAGGATTACCCCTACATAGCAATGTATAAGTTCAGTAGTGATTGCAGGTTATTTGAAGGAAAATGTTGGGTAAACATTAGCTATCATGCACATTTCAAACTGCAAATTATCTGATTATCTGAGGTAAATGGGAACCAAGCTGCAGCACTTCACATGGATCCAACGTGCGATGGTGGAAAAAGCAGAAAAATGAACTTCAAGGAATAAGCAACAAGAGAAAGGTGTTTCATGGAAAATCAGCTAAGTATTTGGTGTTAGAAGATAATGTTTTATCGTAGATGAAAGAGCTTAAAAATCTAGCACTGCCCCTGCGTCCACCAAATTTGAGTTCGGATGCCATGGAGAGATATTAGACACTGTAGCGATTTTAGCTGTAGCAATTTTTATTGGTAGCGTAATTAAAAATAAGGTAAGTGTTAAATTTCACAAATTGAATTTTAAGGTAAGTTCAACTGCTTATCATAACAAAGTAGTTTGCTTAGCAAAGTAGTCCATTTCCAATAGGAAACGATAATCACTTGAGTTCAAACAGAGGTAGCGGAGAAAAAGTTCGGCTACGCTTCTTTGAGGGTTTCTTTTTCCGCTCTTGACAGAGCTTAGTAGCGACTCGGGACGAGCCGTAAAATACACAAGAGAGAAAGGGGCTCTCTAAAAAGAAGTTCGGGAAATGTGTAAACTATTGATATGATACACTTCTAAGCTGGCCAAATGCAAATAAGCCATGATCTTCAAGCAAATGTGGGATGGTATGCCCATTTTGTGCTTAGGAATGGTTTGCCAGTACATAGTAGGACAACAGTTGCACACCTTCTTCCAGCAGACTCTGACAACGAAATTCTGAAATTTCGGATACATAACTCACAAAGCTAATGGTTATACATTGTCTGAAATCGGTACTGCAGATATAATACCTATTTACTGGGGCATGGCTGTGTCTAGCACAGTTCTGCCAAGAGGCTCATGCACAGCATGAATCAAGACTACAAGTGGTGAGAAGCAATGATATAAAGTTATGCTTGCTGTTCTGGAAAATGGAAGAAAACTGCCACCCTACATTGTATTAAAGCAAAGACTGTACCCAAAGACATACTGCTAGATATTGTTGCGTGCATGCGGGAAAAGGGCTGGATGCGAGATTCTCACTGGACTGGCTAGAAACAGTTTGGAAGAGACGACTTGGTGGTTTACTGGAAACTAAGAGCTTGTTTGAGATAGCTTCCGATGTGACATGACTCTTCGAGTGATGGCAAAATTAAATGAGTTAGAAAATGACCATAGCCATGATCCTTGGAGGCATAACTTCCATATTCTAGCCTTTGATGTTATTGTAATCGCTTCTTTAAAAGTTCATTCCAGTGATTTTATGATTGGATGAGTACAGGAAACCACGAATTTACACCAAAAAGAAAAATCGAACACCGAGTGTGTAGCATATGTGTGAATAGATTCTCACAACCTGGGAAAGTGTGAAACAACTGTTAAGGGATTTATGAAGCATGCAATCCAATGCTGTACACCAGTGGTCTCAAACTCAAACTGCATGTGGTCTGAATGCTTAATCGGAAAGCAGCTGACAGGCAAGAACATTTTTTTAATGAATTTTAAAATGTTCTTAATAAAAATGAACAAACAAAAAATGAACTAAATATTAAATTTCATTTGCTAAATACTTATCAAAACATGCATAAATGATGATAATAATAATGGAAAAGAAAATATTCAAATTTTCTATCTGAAGTCTACAGGTTGGTGCCTTCAAGACATTTCTGTTGGTTATACTTTGTAATTCAAACATATTGACAGATATTATACTTTCATTTATTTCAGGTTATTCCAATAGGTTGAATTAACACCTAAATAACTTTTAACCTAAACCACAATAATGATGTGCCACTATCTTTTGGCTGTCAAACTAAATTTACTGATTGTACCAGCATGGGAAAAATTCTACTACCTTATTCTAGTTATGCAGCCTGGCATACAAGCATACAGTGCCAAACCAAAGCTCTAACCTATTAATTCATCCCCCCTTCAATAGCAGACACAAGCTCAGTCCATCTCTCTCTAAAACTGCGAGTTCCGTATTTGTAACAAATATATAATTAAAATGCATTTGTCAACCACATGAAATTGCTTCAGGAGAGTGAGAGCTTGAGACCACTACTCTAGACAGCTCTAAGGATGACATGCTGTGGGATAACAGTATCAGCAATAGTTATATTGGTAGTGCAGGCAACTACTCTAGTGGTATCAACAGTGAATAAGAGGTTCTAAATACAGAAAAATGTTCCTTTCAACCAATAATTTATTAAAATTTTGTATCAGTGTGTGGTAGTTTTCATTTTAGCTGCATTCGCACATCCAAAACAACCAAAAAATTTATTGCAAATAATAAGTTGCAGATAGCCTGCTACTCTAGAATTTTTTATTTTTAATTAGGATGCTTATATGGCTTATATGCACCAGAATATAGTACACATGGAAATTTAAATCAAATATAGATTTTTCATACATTTTACTGTTTAACTCATTAAATGATACTGCATTTTTCAAGCTACTTAAAAAGCTATTGATTTTGGAGGAAAACAATTTCTTTCCAAATCAATTATTAAGCAAAACATGCTCAATTACTGAGTAAAATATTTTCCTTTATTAATTTAATGATGTGCAAATGATTTTCTGTTCTCATCATCACCCCAAAAAATAGGCAGAGAAAAAGAAATTTTAGAGAATAAGATAAATGGGAACGTATGAGGATTAGTAACTGGATGGTTTAAGGAAAAAAACAGGAATGGGAAAATTTAAGAAGTTATTTCAAATTACATTAAATAAAGGGTTTCTAACAAATAATCAGAAATAAAAGTATCTCAAAAGGAATAAGATTTACACATACAGAACATTAAATTATGCATCTGGATATAAATAGAAAAATTCCAATACATTCCATGTTTCTCCACATTCTAAAAAAATGTTTTCAAATGAATTTGGTTTTTAAATTTTATGTTAATTTGAAATTTGTGTACAAAAGGAAATAACTATTAATCAATTGTGGTTGACAAAGCCCACATCCTTTGAACACATCCTGATTACAGTAAGCTTTGAGGGAGTTTGAAAGAGCACTTTACTTAGGTCCCAAACTGATATAATGAGGCCCTGCTAAAACACAAAGCAATACCCATAAAATAAAACTTTTTACAGCTTTCCTAAAAATATGCAACATAATTTCATTTTCCATATTTTAAGGTACATGCTACCTTATAATATATTTGATATGGATGAAACAAAATATAGGATCTGGTTCAATTAATAATTGCATGATTAAATGCATTTTGATCACATTTAATACACTGAGAAGAAAAGATTATAGTTTGTTCTCCCCCCCCACACACACACATCTTAACTGAAGCATTATCTTTAGTTTCAATAAATAAATGAACATATACAAGTCAAAACTGTTTCACTTTTATGGGTAACATCACAAACTTCAGAACTTTACAATATCGCTTCATCCAGGTGTCAGATTTTCATAAAACAGACCTGCATAATTTAGGTTAAAATAACATGCTAAACGATGATTATTGGAGAAGCCAAATAACAAGAATCAAGGTTATATTTGTAAATTTTGCAGGACTACTTTTGATGGTTTAACTGCACAACCATCTTCCTCTGCTGCTAAAGAGCAGCTCAAAACTGGTATTGCAAAATTTACAAATATAATGCTGATTGTTGTTGTTTGACTTTTCCAATAACAGACCTACATATTTACCAGTGGTTTTAAATTACCTTAACATATCATAACTAGAATATTATGACTTTTTCCACCTATCTCACCATTGAAATTTATTCATGGAAAGAAAAATGAATTTGCGCTATCTACATTCATTTCTGTCATTAAGAAACTGCAACTGTTTCATTTATAACTTTACTCTGTCTTCATTAAACATGTCAGCTCCTAATTTAGATTACTGGTGTTCAGCGTGTTAGACACAGGAATTATTTGACAAATGGATATTTAATTACACAGCTTTTAAACTGAATTCACAAATACAGATATAAGCTTATATACCACATTAAATCAGCAATAAATTGCTTAAAATTGAATAAACAAACAAACCAATTACTTTTGCATTTTTCACAGAATTTCTTTAATTTATTTCATGAAATAAATTTTCCCAAAATTAAAAAATCATATAAAACTTTAATGTCCACGCTATATATAAATACTGAATTCAGAAATAAAAAATTCACAAATAGTAACTTCACATTTTATGACCAATATTTAAAGCTACCTAATGTAAGTAAAGATACATAGACATAACTTTAAGTGCAGCAGAGCATTACAATGACTAACCAAAGAGTTAGCTAATGCTTGACAGAAAATGCACATCCTACTGCACACTTAAATAATATACAGAGTTCAATATTCGGACAGCTTAGAATGAAAATGGCAATGAACATTACTGATAAAAAAAATCAGATACAGGACAATTGCAATGATATATTTTTTTTTTATAAATTTGACTAAGAATATTAATATAATCCTAGGGATGAAATATAATTTGCATTCTTAATTACTTTAAATAATACAAACCCTTTATTTATTAAAAAGTAAATACTAAACTGAAGAATCAAACAGTAATCACAATTTTTAAAGCAGTCTTACATAATTACTCATATTTCTCAAATATAACAAATATTGCATTCAAAGAAATTTAATACATATAGGACTGAACAAATAATAAATGCACTGTCTAAAACTTGATAAAAAAATGCTCAACAGATCGTAAAACAAAATGTTAACAAGCAAATGCAGCAGATTTTAGATACTAAAATGCACATGTGATTGGTTATAAAACACTTTAAAATAATTCTTGAACTACTACATTTAATTTTCAATAATAGCTTCAGTAAATCATACTTTTACCCTCATAACATGTATGTTACACTTGTGTTTGATCTAAATTACACAAACTGAAAAACATATACAAACTTAAATAACAACACATAGGTACTAAATTTTATTTATAAAAATTACATAAATAACATTAGCCTAATATACTTGCTTTCACACAAGACACCTGCAAAAATTACATTTCATATATATGATGAAAATTTCTGGCTTCCATTAACTGAAACATTAGTACTACTTAAGAACATATACAAAATATACATAATTTTTCTCACTGAAGATTTAATACAGATACTACGCCAAGTATATCCCAAAAATTACCTAAGCCAAAATACTTTTACAACATTCAATAAAATATTTAAAGCTTAAATATGTTGACTATAAAATACATCTACATATTTTAGCACTTCCTGACACTAAATTCTAATGGAACATGATATAGTTTATAGGTAGTTTAAATGCTGGCATTGGCATGTGAGAAGCTATTAACACAATAAAACTGGAAAAAAGTACTTCTCAAACTTACAGTAATCATAAAATTTTATACAGCTGCTGTTTAACTGGCTATGATAAAAGTCTTGCTTATAGAAAATTAATGAAACATATCACCCAGAAATAAATTTAATTACTATCATCTGATTAGCTATTTGAAAATATCAGTTCAAAATATCCCAAGCATAATGTGAAAGTTATTAATAAATATCATGATTATATATAATAAAAACAGTAACATTCAACAAACTGAACATTCGCAAATGAATACAAAATTCTAAATTTAGAATTTCACATTGCCCTGTTTTATTTTATAGGCTAACTTCAAGGTAACTCTTTAGACTAGCTTCAAAGACTACAAATACGGTTCACTTTCTTTTAACACACATAAGCATACATACTTGCACATACAACCACACATACTTACTGCATACATTCTGAATAAATTAAATGTAGTTCTATTTGAATAATTTTAAATTTTTATTTACACTGAAATCATGTATACTGGCCCACTTAAGGGACTGCATCCAATAGTTTAATACACAAGAGATGCAATACATTTTTATTTAACCAAAATGAAACTGGTAATTAAAATACAATTAACTTAAATATATTATTGAATAACTCATGTTAAAATGTATTAGTATATTAAAGATAACACTGCAAAACTTACAACCAACATTTAACAAACTTTCAAAGAAACTGTTAAAGCTTTCACAAAAACATCTAATACTCAAAAAAATTTTAAAACATAATTATTCCTTTCAAGCAGAGGTGGATAGTAATATTTGGTTAGTCCATATAACTGTTCAGAAGTTAAAATTTTAATAGACAGGCATATTAAAATACAAAAATTAAAAACTTAACTGGGGATTTTATTATTTTTGGATATGCAATATCAAACTACACATAAAATTCATTATAATTGTATTCTTTACTTAAAAAAAATGCTTTCACTGGAACTTTATGTGATTTATAGAACTGCAACACACATTTAATGTTAATATGTATAAAAATGCAAACATGCATAATTCATTAAAGTATTCACATTAAGTTGAGATGTCATTAAATGTGCACTTTAGCAGAAATCTTAACTTCCAAATCTTTTTTTAAGACCATAAAACAAGTGCTATAAAACAGCTTTCCTAACACCGATTTCATGTTAACATGCAATATTTGCACATGCATTTAATATATTGAAACTAAAATTTTAATTCAAAAAATGATTTATATACTCATTAAGCCTCATCACATCTAATGAAGTTAATAACTGAAACCGATTTTTTATTTTCCCCCTTTAAGAAGAAAACAGTTAATTTACTAAGTTCATAATCTATCAATATATCTTAAAATATAAACCAAATATGAACTTTAAAACATCTAGTTAAAAATCCTGTAAAACACACATATATATAAATGCATCAATATGTATCCCTACTGCTGTTTATTTAATGATGTTTTTTATAATTGTTTTTTAAACTCCTATTATGAATTAAAATGTACCTTGCTGTACTTAAACTATTTGTGCAAGATCTGCAGAAATGTATATGAATCTTAACTATACTAAAAATTAAAAAGCAAAACTGTTTCTGATAAAACATATGTATGTCAAATGTACAATGACTATGACTATAAACTATGGAAAATAACAACAAAAAACTAAAACATTAACTAAAAAAGCTATAAAACAAATCAAAATATGGTTATCCATTTTTTAACAACAAAATATTTACTAGAATGAAATGATGTATTATAAGCATAAAAGCTAACAATGCTTCATTATCACACAAGATGAAGACATCTACAGTTTCGTGACTAGCAACGCTTTCTTATCCTCCATCTCTGCTTGAAATAAAACACTAACTACTCAAAAACTGAGAAATAAAAATTTTCAAGACACATAAAATCATTTAGTTTTCTTTTCTCTACAACAATTAAGTGCTTTTTATAAAATAAAGAAGAAATGGCATAAATGTTTTATGGCAATGATTTCCAATTAAGTTCACCACCAAAGTAATGGACCCCACATAAGGGAACCAACAGCTGCACCACCCAGCATACCCATTGCAACGTCTGTACCATCTGGCCGATAATATCGCTCAGGTTGATATACCATAGCAGTTTGCCCTGGAGTTGCTGCCACTATATATATTTAAAAAAATGCACAATAAGTCATAAGAACTGCAAAAAATATTCAACATTTTCCCAAACAGTATCTGTTAAGCTTCTTTACAATCAATTAATCTCTATAGCAGAGTTTCACAATAAGCACATAAAAGTTCAATTAGAATATTACAAGTAATGGCAGAGGACTCAAAGGCTTTAAAATAATTTGATAGAGATTAGAAAATCAGACAAAACCTACAAAACAGCACATTTTAAAAGTATTTTGTGTGATGGATTTATTCATATCAAACACAATGATGATGAAATGCTCATTTTTTTTTAATTAACGAACACAGAAACAAAAGCAGGCATCCACAGTGCAATAATTTCATCCACTAAACTATTTAGGAACATGAATTTTAGAAAAATAAATAAAATTACAGATACACATATAGTTACCACAAAATTGTTCACAAACACTAATTAATCACCTATAAAATATTAATAAGAAAAGTGGTACACCTCTAAAATATTAATAAGAAGAGTGGTAGAATTTTTTCTTCTCTTTTGTGTTTCTGATGAATATAATTTTATAACTTTTATAATTTTCTAAAGTTTAAGAAATCATTTCATATTTTATTTCTATGCATAAAATAAACAAATCATATTAAGTATTTCATCCATGGTCAGAAAATATGCCACACACATTATTTCTTACATACTAACAGCAAAGAATCTACCTAATATTTTCCTGTTTATTACATGTCAACTTCCTTTTGCAGTTAAAATTAATCACTCATAAAATGGTTGTAAAAGAAAAACAAACATTTATTTACGAATATGTTACGTGTAGGTTATTACGTATTCGTAAACGCAGATAACGTAACAAACGTACTTACTGCATCGTACCATTAAACATTTCAAGCGTACATCATCTCAGTGTACATTTTTAAAATTATAAATAGAACGACATCCAGAAATTATCTGTTGCCATTTTCTCAATAGATATTTTGTCTAATAACAATAAATAATTTACAATCGTGCTTACATACAGAAGGCTCTGTATCTAGTAATCTAAAATCAGTATTATTGAAAGTTGAACTTACACTGTAGCCTTAAGTATTCATACTTAATTCAAAGCTACAGTTAAACTCGGTGATTCAGTAAAATACAAGTGAATAGTACTATTTAATATGCACCATCAATTACAGCTAGTAAGATTGCATTAAAGCTTCTTGTTTATTTTATGTAAGTAGTAGTACAGATGTTCTGTATACTAAATATAATATTCTGCGATATTGCATTTATTATTTACCTTCATTGGTAAGTTTACACCTTCTTGCACTTAACACATTTGCATTATTAGGCTTTCAATCCTGGCTAACAGGTTGGCTGTGTGGACATTTTCATGGCTTTTTCCATACATGAATACGACCCAGTTTCCCTTAGAAAGTTCTCTGAAGGCATCTCTACCCTTAAGAAGATAGCGTTAACATAATCAAATAACTCATCATTTAGTAGCTGTGTAGCATGTGATGTGTTTTGGCAGCTCATATTTTTAATTTAAATTATCATTTAACTCCTATTTACAGCAAATTACCAGAAACAGGGTAAACTAACTGGGTTACAATGCTTTTCATTCAGAAAGACATAATAAATCGATCAATATCGTTTGTCCATTAAGTTAAGTTTCATAGTTAGCTTTTGGCTTTATGTTTTACTTTTGTTTTGCAGCTTAATAAAAACTGTGTACTTATTTTGTTTCAAAACATACATATATAAGCTGATCATAATTAAAGTTGACTTATTCAGAACACTCTGCAGCAGTAACGAAACGTGGATTGATTTAAAAATTTGTAGCAAGACAATTCAAAGGATGTGCTGAAAGATTCAGAGGAAAAAAATTAGTTCAACAAATTTATATAGAAGGAGCATTGCATGTAAAATGCTTGAAAAGACATGCAATAAATACCTGTGGGCTATTTAAGATTTCAAAGATCAAGCGAGTAGCATTTTTTCAATTCTAATCAACATCAGTTCCCAGAATGTGCAATCGTGAAATGACTGTGCATGACTGTTTTACAAAAGCCAGGGAAATATTGTAGCAGCTTCGAGAAATTTGAAGTTGAAAGAAGTTGCAGGGGGTTACAGTCTCCATAAGGTGTGACAGACATTATATCTTGATTTAGAAAACTTGATCATTATGCATTCAACATGGCAGAGGGTGAAAGCTTATTAGTGAAGAAGTTGTTTGAGAGGTAGCAATGGCTATTTTACCACTGATAAATGATCCCGACATCAGTAACACACATGCAGTGTCACAACAATTAGACATCTCACACGGAATGCTGTGGAGGATACTGAGGAAAATAGTGAGCTTTTTAATATTAGCCACAAGCAGCAACTACTTGTTACCAACACTGATCATTGTTTATCTTCCGCAATGACTTTTCTATCTTGAATGGACGTTGATGGCTCCTGATTGTGGAACATCTTTAGGAGTGATGAGGCACATTTTTGTCTCAGCGGAAGAGTGAACACCCAGAATTGGTTTTGGATCTCAGAAAATTCGCATGCTTTTCACAGAATTCCACCACACCCACCTAAAGTTACTGTCTGATGTGAGCTCTCTTCCCAATTTATCATTCAAAGAAAATTACAACAATGGCTCTGTAACAGACCTCAGATATCATAACATGCTCAAAAGTTTCACCTTACCTCAACTTCAACAGTGACGATGCCTAGTGTCTACCATTTTAATGGAGGATGGTGCCCCTCCACATAATGGACTTTGTGCTCAAAGGTTTTTGTGGCAACATTTTAATGATGATAGAGTGACCAGCTGTTCATTTCCCACTGTTTGGCTGGCCCGTTCTCCCTCTGTGATTTTTAGTTATGGCAACATTTAAAGAATGTGTTTTATCAGGGGGGGGTAATCTTGCAACTTCGGCTGACAACATATAACATTGCATGTGCAAATGTTTGCTAGCAATCAGCTGCGGTTAGCTGTTGAATCACAAAAAAAATTAATTAAAGTAAAAAGTTTAAAATTTTTAAATTATGTAATTAATGTTGTATGTCAGCTCTGTGCCAATACTGAAGCCTGTGATTGTTTTCAAGAACCTAAATTCCATAACATTGAGCGAATAACTTCTTTTTGAAAAACAATTTATAGTGGTCTATACATTACATTTCATGACTTTCTGCTAGCAGTGCTCATACTTAATCTATTAACATCAAAAACTGTTCATTGCCTGCACATTTTACACTTTAATGAGGGAGATCTACATTATAAAACAACATGCTTTATATAGCTAAATGATCTGTACAAATAAATGATGCAGATACTAAAATTTGTAGCTTGTTTATATTTTGATGTAAGGTGCCTCCAAGTAGAAATTATATTAACTAATTTTTGTTGCTGTTGCAGAATCTTTCAGTGCATCTTTTGAATTGTCTCTCTACATATTTTCTAATCAATCTGCATTTTAGTTACAGCTGCAAGCCAAGATTAATTATGATCACCTCGTATATGTATATATGAACTGAAGAACCAAAGCATTGTGACCACCTACTCAATAACATGTTGCACGACCTCTGGCCTGCTAACTTTGCCATGCCAGCAACTCACTTTGCATTGGATGCCACAAGTTCTTGGTAGATGACTGGAGACATGTACCAAATGTCTATGCAATGGTCATGCAAAATCAAAATATTCTGACATGGTGGTTTGAGCTCTGAGCTGACGTTCCATGACATACCAAATGTGCTTTATTGGGTTAAGACTCAGGTGCCGAGGACATTAACTGGAATTCATCCTTGTGCTCCTCGAACCACTCCAACACAATTTGAGCCTTGGGACATCTGGTGTTGTCCTGCTGGAAGATTCCATTTTCAGTTGGAAAGACAGATGCCATGCAAAGGTGCAACTGATCTGCAATTATGTTCAGATAGTCGACTGCTTTCATGGTCTGTTCTACAATAAATAAAGGTACCAGAGCCGCCCATCCCATATTTAACAGTGTCCCCTGAACAGTGTGTTCTGGAACACTTGCACTTAGACCAGCATTGTATTGGGCTGTCAGCTGAGCCACTGTCTGGCATCAAGTTTGCTGTATTAAGCAGGACAGTTTCCGATGTCCTTTTCTTTGTTGATGCATGGATGTCCAACACCTCGGTGTCAGCTGATGGTTTCACCGTCATTTATCCACTTTGCATAAACAATGGCAGATCGTGAACAATCTACCAGTCATGCAGTTTTGGAGATTTCGAGTCTTCAGGTCATCACAATCTGCACTCTATCAAATCGGCTTAGATCAACAGCCTTTTCCATTAGCAAGAGCAAGAATGATTCCTTACCTTCTACAGCAGCAGTTAAATACCATTCTCACTTAATGATGTGCTCTCCAAGTCATCCAGTGAGTTCATCGAAAACTGTGAGGATGGTCATAACATTTTGGCTCATCAGTGTATACATGTAATTTTATTTGATAGCTTTTCATTTGCTCTATAATGAGATGGTCAATATACTGTATAGTAATTCTACTATTAATTATACATGTATTTAATACCTTTTTAACAAAAGCAGATTTAAGTTCATTTTAAAAAAACATCATTCCTTTTCTCATCATCTTATATGCTGTCATCCTATGACAATATAAAATATCTCATATACTACATATAAACGCTTCATAATAGATTATTTTAATCATCAAGGGTGACATTGGGCATTAAGATAATCATACATCAGGTACATATAATGAAATTTTCTTAAGATACGTCAAATTAAAGATTAAAAAGCTCAAAACAAAAATGTGACTAGATGCAGAAGCAAAGAACAAAGTTAAAAGCTACAAATAAGAATTGATGAATTATATAATAGGATGTATAATTACAATCTTGCAAAAATGAAAATATAAATTTAAAAACAATAAAACATTTTGAATCAATCAATTTTCAAAGCTAAAGTAATTCTTTTCCTGCTATTTACTAGAAATATAATAACAATTCAAACATACAGTGCAGTTTTTTATTCT